TCTCTATGCCCTGCTCTTTGCTCTTTTGGAACAATGGTGCATTCTCATCGGGATCTGAACTAGAATCGAAGGGAGCCAAGGGATGCAAGAAGTGATTTGAGGAAGAGCGGGGTAGAGGGAGAATTCTGAATTCAATTCGGATGAGAATGCCCATGTTAACTCACCAAAGATATAGACCTACATACGTGATGAGACTCCTGGATCCACATGGAGGTCTAAATAGTAGTTAGGGGTAAAAATTTGAAGGAAACTATAAAAACAGATTCAAATGATACTCTCAAACCTTTATTCCAAACAATATTCAAGCAAAACATGGGACTTTGAGAAATTGTCATGAAAACAGTTCGATTGAACAGAATATAGAAAACTCAGCTCAAATTTCAAACCACACAACTTGAAGACACTCTATAATGCAAATGCAATAAGTAAAATGAGCTTGACAATTCAAAAGATAGAAAATGTGTTTCATTTGTAAAGCTAGTATGTTCTTGAAAATGAAATTGTGGGTTGAAATCTTGTTCTCAAACTGATTGTTAAAAACTCTCTTTAAAACTGTTTTTCTTTTTCAAACTATTTTCAGAACACTTGCTTCATCACTGTTTTCCTTAAATATAAATAATGAAGATTTTGAAAATCAACTAAAGAAAAAACCCAAGGGTAAACATATAAAGATCTGCAAAGAATTTACTGAAACTCAGACTCCAGTTTATACATTGAAAACAAGAGTCAATAATTAGCATGACTCGCAAGTTCACATACTCAGGATAGGACAGAAACCTATATTGGGCTACACCCACCCCAGCCCCCCCTCTCGCCCCCCTCCCTACCCTGGGGGGTAGGAACCGTCGTTTTTACAAACGGAGCACCGTAGGTACTCCAAACAAACTGGTGTAAGCAAACGACACCAGTAGCACTACATATATATATACACACACACACGCACACACATACACACATACATTTAAATTTGCAAAATCAATAGGTACATTAAAAGTACTTATTTTGGGATTACACCCCTAAACTGGATTCTTGTTACTACATGCGAGAGACGATAAATGTAAGGGTTCAATTTAGAGATATGAGAGGAAAGGGAGATTATACCATACAACAGGGGTGGTATATGTGGCTACAAGGAGATAGAGAGACCCATCAATGGAGTGATGGGTGTGGAATGAGCTAACCTCACCCAAAGTTGAGGTTATATTCTGGCTAATTGTGCAGGGGAGACTCCTAACCAAAGAAAGGCTGAGCAAATGGATCGATTTAGACATTACCTGTAATCTGTGTGGACAAGAAAAAAAGGATATCAAACATCTTTTTGTAACCTAATATTATACAAAGAGAACTATTGGGAAAGTATTTAAGAAATACAGCATAAGAAATTAGACACATATGACGTTGGGAAAGATATTATGAAGAGCTCTGCTAAGAAGAATAGGAGAATTAATAATGTGGCAGTTTCGACAACATGCTGTTATGGAATTTGGATAGCAAGGAATGAGAGTGTGCATCAGAGGAGGATTACAGTTGAGGAAACTATACCATTCATTCTCTTTTTTATTACAAGCTGCATTGAGGTGTAGTGTATCTGTTTTTCATTTGTATAACACCATCAATAAGGAAGATGAAATCAAAAAGTATTTGAGGGAATGATAATGTGAGAAAAAGAAAATGGAGGTAAACTTTCCCATATAATATATAGCATAAGGGAAGACTATCTAAAGAACCTAGTGCACCATAATTACTCATTTAAATTGTTTCAAATACAAATAATAAATTCTGGAAAACACTGTTTTAAAAAATATTATGAGATAAAAATCAAATACACGTGGTAAAAAAACAATAAGTATGTAAATCAAAAGCAGACAGAAGTACTACATTGATGTTTTCTTATCCTAAGATTAACAAAAAAACATAAGCATACAAGGTTACCAAATATGACATGTAGAAATAAAGAGGCATCCACATTGTCACAGCTCTTCAAAAAAAGTTAAAACCCAAATGTTAAACCATAAATTAGAAAAAAACTGGAAAAAAAAATCATGTATTTAAGTAGAGTTAAAGAGTGATGAATGAGCAAGAAATTCTGCCTCACTGTAATGGTAGAAAGAGGATGGCTCACCACAAACAAAGGCATGTTGCTTCATAGGTGGGAGAAGATCATATATGAGCACGAGACATTATGGTGAATGAGTAAGAAGTTCTGCCTCACTGAAATAACGAAATAACAAAAATAGATTAAAACACGATATGTGGGGTTAAGGCAAACAATAAAGAAAGTGTGTCGTATCGAACTTTTTTTGGCAATGAGAAAACTACACGCTACACATGGATCTAATTCTTTAAGAAAATAAAGTTTTGAATGATACTCCGTATATAGCATTTTAATAGTATGAACCGAAAACAAATTGAGTAACAAAGGAGAATTAGTTGAGAGCTAAAGCTACCTCTTATTGTGGGGAAAGCAAAAAAATGAGTAGTTGAAACAATCCTGGGATCCAGACAGTGGATTGGCAATAATGCCCAAACATGTAGACCACAAGCATGTATGCGAGATGAAAGGAGTTTTGGCATTTTGGTTTTGTTTCCAACAAAGAAATCAGGGGTGAGGCTCCCCATCACAATCAAATATTATTCAAAAAAAATTGAATAAATGAAAAGAATTTTGGGTGTAGAAATGAGTCCCAAAAATATTTTGTGTGTCAAACAATGTACACGAAAAAGTACCTAAAAGATATTTTTCTTAACAAAAAAAATTGTATATCTTAAAAAAGATATTTTTAAGAAACTTTGACACACTTTTTGTAACTAAAAATAATTTTAGACAGAGAAACTTGTAAGGTGGCCATGTTTTTTTGTGATTCTCTTTCTAGAGGTCTAAAAGTTTTTCTCTGAAATCTTCATTCATTGATCCCTACAAAATTGGAGGGCAAAACCTATCCTGCTTGGGCATCTATATTGAAAGCCACGCTCATCACCCACAGACTTCTAGAATACGTAGACGGTACCTCTGCTCCGCCGCCCCAAAATATTGTCGATCAGAAGGCATCCGCCACAGCCGATGGTTAGCGCGTCTTCAAACCAAATCCAGTGTGTGATCAATGAATTATTATCGATGCTCAGCTTCGTGCCTCTCTCTTTGCCACGCTGTCTCCGTCCATTCAGAATCTAGTTCATCTCTACTCGACAACATCTGCCATCTAGATCATCTTTATCAAAGGTACAACTCCCTTTCTCGCACTCATGTGTTTCAACTTAAGAAGCAGCTCCATAGTCTGCGCAAAGGAGAGTCATCGATGCAAAAATATATTGATGAGGTTTTTACGGTTTTTCAATCTCTTGCTCTCGCAAGAGAACCTGTCTCTGAGCAAAATATTATCCTTTGTGTGTGACGCCGCGGTCTTCCTGAAGAATATGCCCCTCTCAAAAAGAAGGTTCGTACCAATATTGCCAAGGTCACGTTTAATGAGGTCTCTTCGTGGTTGTTGTCACAAGAACTTAAATTACAGCTTGAGAAAAAGTTACAACTTCGACATTCCTCTGGGCCGAGTGTATATTTTCATATGGCTTTGTTTGCTGCCAGTGGCCGTGGCCGTGGACCTAGTGGCAGAGGTGGTGGTCTGTATTCTGGTGGACGGCCCTCCACCGATTGATTCAATGGAAGGGGCCGAGGAGGGCCTCCAAGTGCTGGCACTATTACATGTCAAATTTGCGAAAAGCTAAATCATAGTGCGTGGCAATGTTATAATCACTATAATGAAGCCTTTAGCGGACCACCTTGCACAACCTCTCCTTCCCAAACTTTATTTTTGGCCTACTCTACAGGCTCCAATCAGAACTGGCATTTAGACTCTGGTGCAAGTGCCCATGTTACGTCTGATTTTCACGGCTGCATAATCCTACTCCATATTACGGCTACAATTTTGTTTCTACTGCTGGTGTCAATCTCACCCAATCTCTCATGTTGGCTCCGGTCAGGTTTCCACACAAACAAGTATATTCACCATATCCAACCTTCTCCATGTCCCTACCCTTAAAACTAATCTCTTATCTATTCACCAATTTACCACAGATAATAATTGTTCTCTTCTCTTTAATTCTAAGGAATTTATGATTAGGGATTGTACACTCTTCCAGTCCGTTCCGTTGTTACACCGTCCCCACCCGCTACAGCTCCGCTGATGGCCAATGCCTTAAAAACATCTCATCAATGGCACTGTCCGCTTGGTCATCCATCTTTAGAAGTTACAAAGTCTTTGTTGTCTTAATTGGGTCTTAGTTTTGAGTCTACTACTTTTCATTGTGATTTATTTTTTATGTCAAAGTCTCAAAACTTACCTTTCTCTTTGTCTGTTACAGTTACTACACCACCATTTCAGTTAATACACTCTGATGTTTGGGGTCCTACTTTGGTTCCCTCGTTTGGTGGTTATCACTTTTGTATTAATTTTGTAGATGATTTTACGTAGTATTTTTGGCTCTACCCTCTCAAACACAAATTCGATGCCTTTAATGCCTTTCAAAGTTTTCAATCTATGATCATAACTCAGTTTGGTTGTGAAATCCATATTTTCCGAACTGATAATGGTTGTGAATATGTCAATCATAAATTTGGTTTGTTTTTACAATAATTGGATGTTCTTCATCAAAAATCATGTCCATATACCTCCGAACAAAATGGGCTTGATGAGCGTAAACACCGCCACCTGATCGAAACAATTGTCACCCTCCTCTATACCTCATCTCTTTCAGTCACCTTTTGGGTTGAAGCTTTAGCAACTGCCAACTATCTCATCGATCGAATGCCCAAACGGTCACTTCATCACAAGTCACCTTACGAGGCTCTTTTTCTTACTTCACCCGACTACTCTTCTCTTCGTGTCTTTGGTTGTTTGGCTTATTCCCATCTTTGCCATGATACATCTCACAAACTACAACCTCGGTCCAAAAGATGTGTCTTTATCGGTTATGACTCCCTCTCTAAAGGTTATCGTTGTTATGATCCTTCCACCAATCGTATCTATGTCTCCCTTCATGTCCAATTTCAAGAGTCTGAGTTCCCCTACGCCTCCACCCTTGCGTCATCCATGTTTACCACCTCACCGTCATATTTTGTGGTCCTTCCCCTCTTTCCGTCTCCGGTTGTGCTCTCGGTCTCTGCTAACATGGACCTCTTGCATGTCTCTACCCAACACACTCCCATAGCTGTCCAAACTCCAACCCTTGTTCCACACGTCCCTCATGGAAATACCCACAACCCACCCCACCCCGAAACCTCCCTGTCACCTCACCTAACCCCACACTGCCTCATAGCCCTACATAATTAAGATGCCAATAATGATCTTTATACATAATTAAGACTCTAATTTGTGGATATATCACATTTATTTTGTATTCAATAGCTTAGTTTTAGATTTCCAATTACTTAAAACACAATTTTGATGCCAATAATTGTGTCCTTAATGAAATTGCATTTCTAATTCTCAAATTTTTATTATATTATGTTCGTAAAAAATTTGTGAACCGGACATATGTAATATGAATAAGTACACAATTTAGAATTTAAAAATTGCATCGGACATAATTAGAAATGCAAGATTAAGATCAAGGCGGTCTACAAGAAATCAGGGGCCCTGGACGACATAAGAAAAATGAGTCATTGTGTCATAATAAAATAAATTTTCTCAATTAGTGTATTTAAATAATTTAATATTATAATAATAAAAATAATAAATTGTCAAATTTATAGTCTTATAAAATTAAAATTACTTATATTACTAGCTAACTAAGGATTCGTGAAGTTTTTCTAGCATTCTTGAGAGTATTATAGTAATAAAAATACGGAGTAATAAAATGTCAAAGTCAAAACTTCAAACAATCAAATCCGCACACAAAATTAGCAATCTTAAATAAAATAAATTGTACATACAATCTAATTAATTTCAAAGTGAAAATCATAAATCAATATGAAATCAACTAATCTAATTTATGAAATTATAAAATTGAAAATTATTTATTTACTCTAATTGAGCAACTGATTACTCTAAAATTTTTAGAGTATGCTAAAATTATGCAAAATACTCTAAAATCATGATTCATGAACATGATAAAATTGATAAAACCAACGGCTAATAACCTAATTGGAGTAATTTTTGAAAGAAAAAAATTAAAAAAAAAGAGTTAAACCATGTGCGTCGCAGACCTTTTAGTGTTCTTTTTTTAGTTTTTATATAAATAAATACGGATTCATATATATTATGGAGTATATATAAAAATGGGGCCCACTCCAAAATTGGGACCTGTACATATGACCATGTTGCCCATGGGTGTAGCCGGCCCTCATTAAGATGTTGGGTATAAAATAAATGTACTATCTCATCTAATTAGAAGTGCTAATTACGTTTAAGGACTATTTTAAAAATAATATACTTTGTAGGGATGGCTTTAAAAAAAATATTTTACAGGGACTAAACTCAAAGTTTCCTATTTTATAGGGTACAAAGAACCTTATTTTTAAATATATTAGAACATAAATATGATCAAAGTAAATACATTGTTGTGACTTATTATATTACACTAACATTATTTATGATTTTACTATCATTGAGTTCATTTAATTAAGGAAGAGAGATATTTATTTTCATTAGAATATTCTTTTCAGTTTTTGTTTTTTCATTTCATTTATAATAATACTTTCAATAAATATATAAACTACTCTCTCATCTCTAAACAAATTTCATATTTGTTTATGATATTATGATTGAATGAAAATAGTTTTATTCTATTTATTTAAATATTGATGCAAAATAAAAAAAATAGTTTTTAATCCCTATATTAAAATTCTATAAAATTAGAGCTGACTAGATTATTTTTAAAATGATCAAGTGTTTAAACCAAATTAATTAGAACGAATATTTAATTTGACTTTTGCATTTTATCATGTTAATTTAATTTATTATTTTAATCAAAGTTTGCATTGTTACTTACCATTTTTAAGATGTAACTTAGCACTTATAAATTTATATCGGGTGATAATTCACTATATTATGAAAATAAAAAAATGAATGAAGTATGACTCAAGTTTCTTTTTTTTTCATTTTCGTAATCATACAAAGAAATTCAACAAAATGATATTCTTTGAGATATAACATGGACTTTCAAAAAGAAGATTTCTAAAAGGAAAATTAATGTCTGGAGGCCTGGAAACTCATGAAGATCTGTGACAATTAAAATCTAGATGCCAGGACATTCAATAATTTAAGGAGAAGTGCAGAGAAGATCTAATGTGAAGAAGTGAATAAGATCTGGACTCAACTACAATATCAAAAAGAAATGTAATTTTCAATTTGTAACTCTTTGTGTTTTTATAAAACATTATGTATTGACCAGAATACTTTCACGCGCTTAAATGGATTTATATTTAATAAAGAAAGTGAAAAAAATGAGTAAAAATTGTTATATATTTTGTTTTTAAAATTTTTCTTTCAAATCATAGAATCAACAATGTTTTTTTCGTTGACATAATTTTTGGAATAATACGGGGGGAGAATAATCATTGTATTTTTAATGTATTGTAAAATTTATATTTCTTATCATATGATTGCTAATTTATGTTTTCATACTTTTAATGATGTGGGAGAAAAGAGTCAATTTTGAACCAATGCAAAGGCTAGGGTCGAGGAGAAGAAGAATCATATTATATTAATGCGTGAGAGAAGAATTATACTCCGTATTTTTTTCGTTAATGTAAATTAATGTGGCGGAGAAGAATCGGGATTTTTTAATCGTAAAATTATAGGATCTGAAATCTAAACTTTTTAAATAAAATGCGAGATAGAAGAATAATAAAATCACTAATAATGTTTTTGTAGTATATTTTTTTAATTGAGGAGTGGGAAAAACTATATATTTGTAGAAATTTAATAAACCTAGATATGTGTGTGTGTGTGTGAAATTTAATTAAATGGTATATAACATAGAAAAATCAAGTTGTTTTAAATATTTGATATTGTAGAATCGAAAATAAATTCGTTCCACCCGTGCATGGCACGGGTTAAAATACTAGCTCCTATTATGGTAGGAATAGAGCAATGGTAGGTGTAGAATTATGATAGTTTACTTATTTGTTTGCTTTCCCCTCCTATATAAAGGAGATTAATCCTTTGTATTCTACAAGTCAATTCAATATACAGAATATTTTCTTTCTTATCATTTTCTTCATCTAAGTAGAGCTGAGTGTAGAGTATATATTTTTCATAAAATGAGTGTAGACTTAAAAGCCACAAATGAATTTGCCTATAAAATAAGTGATGAAAATAAGCAAAAATGATCAAATTTGACCGCCAAGAAGAGGTGAGTATTAATTTCTTTCAAAAAAAAACAATTCAAGAATTAATGAGCTGGTGGACGTACCGTGGAGATAATACAAAGAAAATTCAAAGTGATCTAATTTCTTGAGAGGGTCTGCTTAAACATTTGTGATATCCAGCTGTCATTAGAATATAACTATAGGTAGTTTTTTTTATTTTTAAATAATTTTCATTTCTTCCTAAAACGAGTAAAATTGTCTAACACCCTGCATTAGATAAAATGTTACAGTACAATTTTGATTAATAAATGACCAGAATTGGTCCCCATTTGACAGCGCCATACCAACAACTACTTGGAACGATATTTTCACTATAAATAGTTTGGGTATGGGGATATCTCTCGTCATCACCACTACTCACTCACCTAAGATGCATGCTTAGGTTCCAAGGCCTTGTAGATATATATAAGTGTGCCTTTTAAGTGTAGCAATTTTAAGTCTGCTTAACTAACTATTAGTGGTGCGCGCATTTTTCTTGGGGCATAATGGTGGTTCACGGCGGCGGCGACCCGGAGAGAGGTCGTCTACCGCCGCGACTCCTAGTGGCGCTGGTTGTGTTGGCCGCTTCGAGTACGGTATCGGGAGATCCTTATAATTACTCTTCTCCGCCCCCACCTTACTACTATAAGTCTCCTCCACCGCCTTCACCATCTCCTCCGCCACCGTACTATTATAAATCTCCGCCCCCGCCATCGCCCTCTCCTCCACCACCGTACTATTACAAGTCATCCCCTCCACCCTCTCCATCACCTCCACCGCCATACTATTACAACTCTCCACCACCGCCATCGCCCTCACCCCCACCGCCATACTACTACAAGTCTCCCCCTCCACCATCT